CTAGGCCTATATTGAAATAATTTAAAGAATTACAAATATCGGATATAATAAAATCACATTGAATAAATGAACCAATATAAAACTAACAAAAGCTCTAACAATTAGGTACTATATCAAACTGCCATATTAAACTTAATATTAAAAAGCCATATTAAACTCATTTTTCAAAAGCCTCTCTGAGAAAAAAAAAACATTTTAGATATTTTCTAAAAAACAATAAACACCGGACAATGTTTTAAATATTAATCATAAAGTATTTGGATACGATCATATTAATCTGCCTGATTCCCGCGGAAGTGGGCGGATTGAGTGACGTTCAATTCGGGGGATGTTCTGGGGGTGGGTTTGCGTGACGCGCTGTGAGCTACTATCCCGACAGTGGAAACGCGACATGATTTCGGCCTCACTGTTCAACCTCGATTGGCTCGGCCTGGCACGATAAAAGCACTGTTTTTTTTTATATTTATAACATTTGAATACAGTTCAGCAACATACATCACACGACCTGACAACAAAGGTAGCTGACAATTGACCATCACTAAATTTACCATCACCTCACGAATGAAAACGTTACACTGATTTCATACAGGGTTCATACAGCCTAATGAAAATCAAGGACTTTTAAGCACTTTTTCCAGCACCTACTTTTATTTTTGAAACTGACATGCAATGTATTGAACACCTGAAATGTATTCTCAGCAACCCATAAAACATTGCATAGGAACTATTAGCAAATTATTGTTATAATAAAATAAATGATGTAGCCTTCCCAGTATAAAATAACAGTAGCAGACCTAACTTTATAGCTACAGCTCGGCAGAGTCAGCACAGGTATAAAAACAGGTGGTTTTATTCCTGATGAGAATATTTATTGTTGTCAGACTTCACTTTCACATAAATACACCTGAATAAATCAATCAAAACTCACAGGTAATCAGGATAGCCTGTGCATGTAGGGGGAGTGTCGGAGGAGGGGAAGGTCAGTAAAAATTTGCATAAAAATGGAAGTTTGGGCACGTGCTGATTTTCACAGAGGCAAAACAAACACACAGATGCAGAGGAGAAAGTCAGTGACTGTGTTTACATGGACATCAGTAATCGAATTATTTGCCAAATTATGAAATGAATTTTAATTGCAGTTCTCTTTGCAATTGCAGTGGCTCTTTCATTCAGGAATTTCATTCATGCCCCGTGACAAACGAGATATTTGATTCGAGGAATTGCTGGAAGCGTGTATCTTTCATGCAATGCTTGTTGCAAAAAAAAAAAAAAAAAACCTCCACATTTCTCTGTAACTTAGATGCACTTGGTAGGTAGCGTCAAAAAGCCATGTGTGTGTTATTCCTGTCACAAAATTCGGCGGTAAGTTTGATTGTGGTACTAACATGTTTACACTCGGAGAGCAGCATTTACAGTTTTCAGTCCATAATATTATATAGATATTAACGTACGGTAAACATTATTAACTTAGAAATCATTTGACTAAGGTCTGACTTTAAACACTGAAAGAGTACTGCTGAATAAACAAACAAAAAACACTGGTCGCTCACTTACCATATCTGTAGAGACAGGATAATCAACACATACTGGAGCTCTGTCTTTTTTTAAAGGAGACGAGCAGCAAATCTGGATTTCACCATTTTCAGATGAAACCAAGTGTTACTCATGAATGAATGCAGCACACTCAGAGACGTCATAAGGTACTCCCAGGTAGATGTTCAGTCTACATGCTGGAATACACGCTAAAATCTCATGGCCGTGACGCAGCTTCAAAAATTCATTTTAAACCGGAAGTACGAATTTGCTCAAAATAACGCAAAAAAAAAAAAAACTATTTTCAATTTTTTTAGTGAAATATGTGTGTCCTAATAGTGTTTTTAGCAGTGTGGGACACATATAAGACTGTCAACAGCACAAAAAATGTGTTTTGTTGTTTCGTGACCCTTTAATGTCAGAAGTAGAGTATGGTGGTATTGTTATTTTGGACCATTGTCGAGTCTCACTAAAGCTATGGCAGTTTGCGTTCACTGAACAGTAAGAATGATTAATAAATCCATATGAAACAGTCCCTTAAAAGTCACGTCTCGCTTTCAGTTTCGGGCTTTGGCGCGTTTTGCACTCACACACAAAGCCCAAGTGAATCGCGCTCAGGCACACCTCTTCCAACCGGGAGAGGGGCGGCAAAGTGAACCGTGCTTGAGCCCGATTCAGCGCACTCACACTTCTCAAACGATCCGGGAAACGGGCCTGGGCACGGTACGGATGGCATAGTGTGAGTAGGCCCTTATCGTCCAATCAGCTTACTCTGCTGTGATTATAAGATCCTGGGGTGTTTCTAGAAAACTTAGTGAAAGCTTGTTTAGGAAGCCAAGGTGTGTCTGATTGGCGTTGGAACTAAACTTTCCAGGACACCGGACTTCCATGACTGAGTTTGGACATGCCTGCTCTAGGGGAACGAGACAGGGCTACTCTCTGTCCCCTCTACTCTTTGACATTGCCATTGAACCTCTTGCAATCGTATTAAACAACTCAGATGGCTTGCAAGGAGTTTTCAGAGAGGGACAAGAACATAAGTTCCTGCTATATGCTGATGATCTTCTTTTTCTGTCAAATCCAGATACATTTATTCCAAAAGCTCTTACAATAATTTCAGAACTGGCAAATGTTTCTAGATACATAGTCAATCTAGCAAAGTGTCTCCTTTTTCCTATCAATGATAGAGCACAGCAAATGTCCTTCCAATCCTTTCCATTTTCAGCAAGTCCTGATAAATTTGTATATCTGGGTGTGAGTGTGACACGCAAATATAAGGATTTGTTCAATAATAATTTTAAAACAACATTAGACAAAGCCAAACGAGACATGGCATGGTGGTCAATCCTTCCTTTATCTTTGGATGGGAAGATCAATTTCATTAAAGTGACACTACTACCAAGATTTCTGTTTCTATTTCAGACTGTGCCTGTTTTTTTAATGTCAAGTCATTTTTCAAGAAGTTGATTACTATATTTTCTAGACTATAAGATGCTACTTTTTCCCTAGGTTTTGACCATGCGGCTTATACAAAGATGCAGCTATTCTGTGGATTTTTCTTCCACCGCTAGGGACGCTCTTACCAGTACAATAAAAAAAAGATAGACGAAAAATTAATGCAAAGAAAAATAGACTGCGCTACTTTTTCTTTAGCAGATAGAACAAGCATGACAAATTACTAAGGATGTAACGGTATCAGAATTTCACGGTACGGTAATACCTCGGTATGAATGTCACGGTACGGTATTTATTGAATCATTTACAGGAAAAAACAAAACTTATGAAAATACTCCAAAAAAGTGCCAAAAGTGTCAATGACATACAAATTAGCCATCTATCAGTAAGCTTTGAAACAGGAACTTCAATTTTAATAAAAAAAAATTAAACCATGTAAAAAAATTAAGTTTCAATTTAGTATTGTTGAAAACTCTTCACATTCAACATTTAATCACTCACTCACTTAGATAGAGATGGGTTTAAAGGAAAATTATCATATAAATATAATCTGGTAAAAGCTGGTATCTCTGGGTATTTACAATGTCCCCTGCAACAAAAAAAACCCTCTGATTTGGGACTGAGGTTTCTGGGACAAGAGAGATATGACTTGGCCCAGGTTGACAGCAGTGGGTAACGTTGTGCATTGTCTTTCCCCCACTTGAGAGGACAAGCCATGAGTGAGATAGAGGTCTCATGTCTGCATCAATCTGAACAGTGTGCTGTGTTTCTGCAGTCCCCATGACTGATTATTACTACTCTACCTCCCGTTCGCTTCATTCGCCTGAGCAAATTTTCTCAGAAGACCTATAGTTTTACCGAGTCATGCGACTACGGTAATATCGAAAAAAATTTATATTGCGGTATGACGGTATTTACAATACCGTTACATCCCTACAAATTACTAACTGGAAACTATATTCAAATCCTTGCCCCTTCATCATGGAAACCACACAAAGAAGTTCATATGATGCAAGTTAAGTTGAAGGCCATCGAGCTTGCTACCCAGGAAGGAAACTGCGCTGCTGCACGCAAGCTTAGCGTCAACGAATCTATGGTGAGGCGTTGGAGGCAGCAGCGGGAAGAGCTCATGCAATGCCAAAAGTCGAGAAAAGCTTTCAGAAGACATAAAAGCAGTTGGCCTGAACTTGAAAATGTCCTGGAAGACTTGGTGAACACACAGAGAGCATATGGCCGAGGTGTATTCACTGTACAGATCAGACTGAAAGCCAAAACAATCTGCTTCAAAATGAACATTGAAGGTTTCAAAGCTGGGCCGTCATGGTGTTTCAGATTTATGAGACGTACCTGTCCAATAGAGCACGGACCACTCTGTTAGCAACTCCCTCCTGACTATCAGGAAAAAGTTGAAAACTTCCATAAATTCGTTGAAACAAAGATACAAGAGAACTTCCGGACCAGACAACATCAATAATATGGATGAAGTACCTTTGACGTTTCATCTGCCTTTGACCAGGTCTGTTAATGCCTAGTTCACACTAAAGGATTATAAGCCTGATTTGAGCCCGATTTGGAAGTTAACGAGCTCGCTGACAGATCGGGCTGTGATCGGGAAGAAATCTGCGGGTGCTCAGCACTCGCCGCTCTGTATGTGTGAACTACTGAACAACGCATCAACGGGGCTTGCTGACGCGTCGCAGACGGAAATCCAACATTCAACATGCTAAATATTCCAGAGCAGTCGGCCGACTCAACTCCACGTGTGGTCAGATGTAGTGACGAGCTGCAGCCAATGAGAGAGCATATCAGCATGAGCTGAATGCCTGTGTGTTCAGGAGCTCAGCAGAAACATTTGTGATTGGTCAGAATGGGCATCGGTGCACTCGCTTCACTCTGCGTTAGTACAGACATGAGAGTAGGATATATTAACAGTGGAACTAAAATTCTGTAACTTAGAATTACTATACTGGTCATTCTGACCGTTCTCATATAAAACGCCATATTGTCACAACATATTTACATTCAAAGCTATTATTGAGATATTAAAATTAAGCTTTGAATGTCTGGCATCATATTTAATGACACCATTACCCTAAAAATATAATATTTTTTTGGTAATACAGCCTATAAATATGTAGTTAAGATACTAGAACACTTAAGGTCTTGGCTTTCATTTTCACTTTCAAACAGGAGCTATTTCACTGCACAGAATATGCTGTTTTGAAAGATATCTGAAGTAAATTGATGTTTTTGCCATCAGAAAGTTTTGTTTATTTTAGCAGGAAGTTGCTAGGCAAGAAAATGCACACATATTGAAAGTCACAGCGAAAAGTATCAGACATGCATGCAGTCATTTTGACCAATATAGTAATTTAAGGCAGAAATGCTCAGTTCTTTACTTTTTTGTAACAAAAAAAATAACAATGTCAGAAAGAAATACACTGATAGTTAGAAAACGGCAGGGTGTTATAAATATGTTAGTTTTATTTCAAAGAGTTATAAAATTACAAAAATTAAAAACTCTCTGTATATCTATCTACTGGAACCTTGCAGATGAGTGATTAATCCGCTCATAAATCAGCTGATTTGACGATGTTTTTAAATGCTTTCTCCAAAGCTTGAAACGCTTTCAGTGATGTCATCAGCACACAAGCAACCAATAGTGTTCAGCTTTTTCTGATGACTCCTCCCTCAAATTTTGATTGGCTGTGGTTTGGTAGCTTGAATGAGCTGATGGGGAATGAGTTGTTGTCAGATCATGTAGTGTGTAACCCCCTTCTTGTGGATCATTCACAGAGTGTTGCGTAGTGTGAACGGCACAGCGATCTGCTGATTTTTAAAATCCTGTAGTGTGAACTAGGTTTAACAAGACAGGTGCATCATGCGTGTTGTTGAAAACAACTGGCCATGAGAGAACGCACTTCACCTGTGTTCTGGCATGCACGGCATCCGGACAAAAAATTCCACCAATGGTGATTTTTAAGCACATAACTACGCCCAAAGAACAACTCCCGAAAGGTATAGTGGTCAAAGTTAACGCCAAAGGTTGGATGGTGGAAGGCCTAATGAAGGAATGGTTAACGAAGTGCTACGGTAAGCCGATTTTTTCACCGGAAAATAACGCTGCTTGTTTTGGATGGCATGAGGGCCCACATCACAGATTCTGTGAAAGCAGCGATCAAGAAAACAAACTCCATTCCAGCTGTGATTCCTGGAGGTACAACAACGTATTTGCAGCCACTTGACATCAGTGGGAATTGGGCATTTAAAAGGTGCACTCCGGGTTAAGTGGGAGACTTGGATGACAAGTGGTAAAAAGTCTTTCACAAAAACTGGCCGCATGCAAAAAGCATCCTTTTCTGATGTCTGTCAGTGGATCCAAACAGCGTGGAGTGCTGTCAAAGAATCCACCATCACCATTGGGATCGAGCGGCGCACCTTCAGAGATAACTTCACTGGAGGATGAAAGTGACACGGAGATTGAGACTGATAAAGACAAATGTGACGAAGCGCTTCTGAGGCTGTTCAACTCCGACACTGAAGAAGATGAATTCATGGTTTTAGTGAAGATGATTAAAGTGACTTGTGGTTTCAAACACAGGAGAAATGAAGGTGAATACCAATTTTTTATGTTCTGTTTTAATCAGCAAAGTTGCTGCCGTGTTAAAAGGCAATGTTCGGAAATAATCTGTTCAGGTACATACATACATGTACAGTTTTTAGAACAAAATTGCTCTGTACATGCAGCAAATTTCAAAATGTTCAACATAGATAACTGCCATTTTCCCAGAGATGGGTTGCGGCTGGAAGGGCATCCGCTGTGGTGACCCCAGATTAATAAAGGGACTAAGCCGACAAGAAAATGAATGAATGATAACTGCGCCTTATAGCCCGGTGCGGCTTGTATATCTTTTTATACAGGTGCGCTCTATAGTCCAGAAAATACGGTACTTGTATTTCTACATTTCTCTAGGATAAGAAAATTCCGTGCATAAGAAAGGAACTCTAGGGAAAAAAAGAAGGAAAAGGGTGGATTGCCAATGCCAAATTTCTGCTCCAATTTTGTTAAATCCATTATTCCCCCCCCCTCTTATAGATTCAGCGTTCCAATGATGGTCTAGGAAGGGAGTTAACTGTGATAAGAACCTGTTTAAATATGCCATATTTATCTCATTTCAACAGTTGAGAACAGACATTGAGATTCCACACTCTAATTTAGGTAATTTTTATATGTAACTTCAAGTCCGTAGTTTCATTAAAAAACACTTCTCTCCTTCACTGAACCAACCAGAAGCATGCTGGATAGATGAATTGGTAAACATGGACCCATATCAAAAAGGTGTAATGTCCATGTTATATGAAGTGATCCAAAGAACTGCGTCCACTTCCCTAAATTTACATTTACATTTAGTCATTTAGCAGACGCTTTTATCCAAAGCGACCGTAGAAGAAGCTACATGAATCTTTTCTTTATTTAATAAATGACTTTCACCTCAGAGGACAATGCCAACACACAATGAACACATGGTGGCGTTTGAAGCAATGAGATGTGGAGAACAGACGCTCTTGACACGCTCCAGGCGCTCTGGAGGTAATTAATAATATAATAACATTAATACTGAAACGGTTGAGGTGTTTTAGAATGACCAAAACAACTATTCCTAATATTTTTTTTTAATGTCTGGGTAAACAGACACTTTTCCTCTTTGAACACAAAACATTTTCTTTTGAGAAACTTTTTTAAATAATTTGGAACAGTAAACATGTCAGGCATGTCATTCAATTGAATCCTTGACTTCTGCTGTCTTCTTTTGTTTCAAAAACACAGATTTCTTTACAATTTGAAACAGCATCTTTGGATATCTTTTCTGCTGAAGATACTGTTGTCCTGAAAAACTTGTAAAACAAAATGTAAAAAACAAACAAACTTACATATACAGATGAACGGTACAGCAGAAAATATTGGCGGTTTTAAAACCTTGACTTTTTTTAAACTGCGGCATACCTTGAAAGCGATTATTGTCCTACACCTCAGCAGCACAACACTGTTTTTAGGATCTAAAAATGTATTCTTTAAAAAAAATCTCAAGCAAAAAGATTCCAATTTCAATGTCTGCTGGTACTTGAAGAATATGGTCAATATTCTGATGAACTTCACACTCAAATGTTAGCATATCATCAGCATGCTGTAATCCATTTCTTAAGCAACAAAAGTCGTTTTAGACTAGTTTGTTGGCCAGTTGTAGTCAGTGCAATGCTAAACGTTATTGTTCCACTATGATTTCATTGTTTTGTCTCTTGTCGTCCCGCAACAACAACATATAGTTTAGAATACAATGTTTTATAATAATTAATTAATTTAGTGTCTATTTCATTCAGCATATTTCAAATTAGGGGCATCCACGTTTTCTGACATACTTTAAAGGGCCATGAAACCCCCTCGTTTCAGCAGGGTGTTTTCACACCTCTACTTCGGAAAAAGTCAGAAAAGCAGGCGTGTCCAGCTCTGTTTAGGGGGGAGTGTCGGAGGAACTAAAGTGGGATGGTGTGGGAGTGTCTATTTGGGCACGCGCGAGTTTCAGTCAAAATACTCACACGAGAAAGTGATGGTGTATTTTTTACAGTCATTGTGTTTAACCTACATGGACATCTGTAGTTGAATTATTTGCCAGATTATTAAATGTTGGACTTTAACTGCAGTTTGGCTCTTTCATTCAGGGAATTCATTCATGCCCCTCGCGACAAACGCGATATTTGATTCGAGGATCTGCTCTAAGCGTGTATTTTTCATGCAATGTTTGATACCGCACGGCGAATGAGAGAAAAAAAAGCTCCGCAATTCCCGGAAACTTAGATGCACTCGGCAGGTAGCGTCAGAAAGCCGCGTGTGTCACAAAATGCGGTGCTAACAAGTTTGCGCTCAGTGCAATAGTTAACTTAATTTGATACGAACAAACTGAATAAACAAAGAGCGCTGGTCGCTCACTTACCAAATCTGTAGAGACAGGACAATCACCAGCAACTAGAGCCGCGTCTTTATGAAGAGAAGACTACAAGCTAATCCGGATTTCAGCGTTTGCAGATGAGAACAGCTCTCAGGTAAACAATAATCCTCCTTGGACACGTAAGTTATTGTTGTCGAGCGTCGCGTACACTGTTAATCCACACGTGAGTCTGAGCTCTCACAGAGAGAAAATGAAAACGAAACTTAATGGCAGCAAACTATAAAAGCAACACTCCACGCTTGTTTTGCCAACACAACGTGGCGTCTCTGGTGTAAACAGTGACACTAATGAATATTAATGAAGTTGCAGAATAGAGCGCGCTGATTGGTTTGAACCAAGTCTTACTCATGCATTAATGCATCACACTGTAAGACGTAATAAGACACACTCTGGCACAGACGTCCAGTCTGCACGCTGGAATACAACGCTATTATGTCATGACCGTGACGCAGCTTCAAAAATTCGTTTCAAACAGGAAGTACGAATTTGCTTGAAATAACGCAAAAACAACCAATTTACACTTTTTAGTGAAATATAGGTGTCCTAATAGTGTTTTTAGCAGTGTGGGACACATATACGACTGTCAACAGCTCAAAAAATGTGTTTTGGTGTTTCGTGACCCTTTAAATCAGGGTTTCTACAGGTGTCACCAAGTTAAATTTAAGACTTTTTAAGACATTTTTTAAGACCATTATGAATGAAATTTTAGATTAAGGAATTTTTCAAATGCCCCAGATAAAAAAGATTTTTATTTGTCCTATCAAAAAATATAATATAAAATATTTAATAATACAATAATAAATCAATAATAATAATAACAATAAAATATTTTACATATTTCTTAGCAAAAGATCTTAAATATTGTGTAAAAACAAGAGAGCTCTACTTGGATCCACACACTTTTTTCCAAAATAAACTTTCTTTAAAATAAAAAAAAACAAATTAACAAATGTTTTACTAACTATAATAACTATACTAAACTATATTATAACTATATAAACTATAAAAAACTAAATCTATGCA